TATATATATATATATATATACATATATGTGTGTGTGTGTGTGTGTGTGTGTTACTGCTACTTGCCATTTCTTTGCAATTATCAGTGAAATTTACTAGCAATATCGAAATTGTTTAAAAATAAATGCAACATGTATTTTTTTCAGTGTTTATGTGCAGTGTGTACATTGGGCAGTGGACCCTGAGAGCAAATATGCATTTATAAGCTTAAGGAAAAGACTGTTGAAAAGAGATGAAGAAATAGGTACAGTTGAAAGAGAAAACGCCCAGAAGCGTGCTCCAAACTAGTCAAAGTGGATAAAAGTATGTTGTAGCTTTCACTGTAAATTACAAGTTTGGGCAGTTCAGTTGAATGTTTCTTTAGAACAAAATGAAGCTCATTGTTCCCACCATTCCACAAAATCTGAAATAGATTGTCCAGGGTGCTCTGGGACAAGATCTTTTCCTTTCCAGACCAAACATAGCCGTGTCTGCATGCACCTTTATCCAGGGAGATCCTTAAAGTTTTGCTTCAAAGCAGGAAAGAATGTAAGAGATTTTACATTCATTTCGAATAATAGGACAACTGCGTCTCCTTTAGGTTTGAGTTAAGTATTTTTTATATAGAGACATTTTCTTATTGCCTTTTGTTTTTAGAAACGATATTAGTGATCAATGTTTGAAATGCCCTCAATGGATTTTTTAATCGATATACTGTATGTCATTATAATATAATTATAATTTTCAACTTAAAAATAAAACAGACTAATAAAGTATCATTATATGTAAATCATTGCTCTTTTGTTGATTTTGATTGCTTCTATTGTCCTCACGCTTTGGATAAAAGCGTCTGCTAAATGACTAAATGTAAATGTAAATAAAGTAGAAACCTTAAGCAGAACACCAAAGAAGGTATCTGGTCATTTTGTTGTATATTTTTCTGAATGGCAGTACAATAAGTTCCCATTCCAGTCTTTTCAATTCAAATTCCAGTTCAACATATTTTGGGTGTGAAGCCAAAGGAACATAGATTATCTGTATTAAAGGTTGTATTGCCAGCATTGGCCACAATGAAACTACAGGGAGTGAGAGTCAACCGCTGCACTAAAGTTTATTGGCCTTGCCTACAGTGGTGTAAATGCTCACGTAAACAAAGAAGCTGAACTTAGAGCCTGCTTATTTACAATCAAACCAGGTAATAAGAAAGTGTTTGCATATTCTCCTTTCTTTAATTTCTTTAATAATCATAACAAAATAAGTGTTTTGAGACCTGAAATTAAAATTAAGATACAATGTAAAAACAAAATATGTAATTCTAAATGTGCTATACATATATGCTATATGCTAATACATACTGAATACCTGTACATTTCAGTTATTCAAGCATTTGATAAACAAATGTCAGGGAACAAGAAGATACTGGTTGAAAGTTTTTTTGTTTGTTTGTTTTGTTTTTTATTTTTTTTACTTTATTTTAATCAGCATCAAATACAAATTCAGTATATTTATTGCTGGTGTTAAATGTACATATGGGAATATCAACTGAATTTAATTTGAGTATAATTTCATCATTGCTGAGGGACTGTTAATTAAAGTCATATGGCAAGTGTATCGTACACTCAAAGGAAGTGTTATACAAAAGATGGTGGCCATTACAATATGCTTTTGAGATGCATACTCCATAATTTCATATTCATTATAGCAGCTGTTAATACCCAGTGTTGGGGGTAACGCGTTACAAGTAACGTGCGTTACGTAATAATATTACTTTTCTGAAGTAACTAGTAAAGTAACGCATTACTTTATAAATTTACACATGAATATTCGAGTTACTTTTTTAAAAAAGTAACGCGAGTTACTTTTTTCAGTTTAATTAATTTGCTTTAAAAAAAATGTAATTACTTAATTAAAATGAACGTAATCACGTAGAATCACGCACTCAATGCGTGCGCGGGAACAGACATAGTCAGAAACGGAGATGGCAGGTCAGAGCTTTACATTTCTGCGATGGAAGTATTCTAATTATTTTGAACTCGTCGAAGAAAGGGAGAAGGGGATTGTCGTTAAGTGTAGATTATGTGTAGGTGAAAACTCTTGTCAACTGCAAAAAACACCACTTCAAATTTAAAAAAACATCTGCATGCAAAGCACAGCACAACAGAGATGGACGAGAAAGAGCCGAATGATACCTGCACCCCGCCTCAAGCTAAACAACAAAAGCTTGATTTCAGTTCACCTTCACCAGGTAAAACAATTAGTTCGACTGAACTCAACAAATTGGTTGCTGCTTTTATTGTCGAGGAGATGCAGCCACTATCCACTGTGGAGGCGCCTACATTTCGTAATATCATAAGCAAAATCTCAGTGACAGGCAAAAGGACGGGGGGCGTGCTGCCCGATCGCAAAACCTTTACAAACTTTTTGGACAATGCATATATGGAAATGGAGACAGACCTAAAGAAAACTTTTGCCGACCTGGAATATGTTTCCACCACTGCAAATCTATGGACTGCTCAGAATAAAAGTTTTCTGGGCATTACTGTACACTGGATCGACCCTGCTAGTCTGCATCGCCAAAAAGCTGCAATCGCCTGCAGGCGATTTCGTGGGAGACACACGTAAATGACAAATTACAGAGTTTTGTTTGTGTTTGGACAAATGGTTCATAAATGTTTGTGATTTGTGTAAAACATTTTTTCAGATATTTTAAAGTATTGGTTGGTTGTATTAACTATTGTCAAACATTTGAGAGTTTTGTGCACATTGTTTTGAGAAAATTATTTGCATGATTTGTAATTTGTATGAAATGAATGAAAATGTACAGTCTGTTTAGGACAATTACAAAGTGTTCAGCTCACTGTGTTAACTGTTTTGAGAACAGTGACCTGTGTTTGGAGAAATGTGTCAAATCGATTGAGAAAAACTGTAACAAATAATTGCAAAGAAATGGCAAGTAACAGTGAATTCATTTTAAAGTAGAATGACTGAAATATTATTTTTTTATAATCTTTCATATATAATATAACTTCTTATATTAAAAACAATCAAGTCCTGCTTATATTTAAAAAGTAACGCGAAAGTAACGCAAAAGTAATATAACGCATTACTTTCCATAAAAAGTAACTAAGTAAAGTAATTAGTTACTTTTTTAGGGAGTAACGCAATATTGTAATGCATTACTTTTAAAAGTAACTTTCCCCAACACTGTTAATACCTGAGGGATTTTTTTGGATGTGAATAGTTAGTCAGAGCATCAAGTTATTATCCATCAATACTAATGTAGATTGTATGACTAAGATCCAGAACATGTACACTAATCTATCCATAAAATATCCCTAATAAAAGCACAAGTGGACCATATCATCAGAAGTATAGCTTGACATTGAATGTGTGCACATACCAATGTTTGAGTTTGTATTGCGTAAGTATGCTGAAAATGTCAATGGGCTGTGATAATTTTGCTCCAAATGGCCATGTAAGTCAAGATATGTAAAATATTCATTTTCCGTTTATAGACTTGGGCTTAAAATAAGCTCATATATAAGTTGCTGGTCTCTCATTTGTTTGTATTTGTTAGTGTAAGTGTGTCTGTCTCATACCCTTCCTATGTCACGTGGGTTCAGCACTTTCCCAATGAAGAGAAGTGCGCCTGATGGCTCATCTCTGACTAGAAAGAGGAAAGGCCGTTCTACGCGGTACGTTAGAGCCAGCGACTGGCCGTTGACAGTGGGGGTGGTGCTGGCATACTCTGCGCCCTCTGGAGCGGTTTCCATGACAACCTTATGATGGACAGCATTTAACTTGACTGGCTGATTGGTAATTTTGACAAGGTCTGTCTCTGCCAACCATTCAGACAGGCCTGAAAAAGGAGAACAAATAAGGGAGACAGTGACAAATTATATAAGAACACAATAAAGTGATAAACTAGCAAAAAATGTGGAATGGTGGTTTTGTCTTACCCAAGTCAGAGAGGGAGGGCAGCAGGTCTGTGCTGTAACTGAGTTTGATAACAGGAAGTGTAAGCAGCACCTGTACTGCATGGAGGGTATTGGAAAGGTCCTGGACAAATTCAGCTGTAAGTGCTTCCTCTATTAGAGTTAGATTCTGTGTCACCTCATCAGGTAAGAAGAAATACATGCTTATTCCATCCTCCATTGGAACCTGGGCTATCTGTATCAGATAAACAGAGATGATGAGCAAATATCAAATAAAATCAAATGCACACAGTAATTTTTTTTCACTTCACAAGACATGATAATTATTGTGACGCTTTTAACAGCTGTTTGAATTTTGACAGCAACCATTCAATGCAGAGGATCATCCATTGGTGAGCAAGTAATGTAATGCTAAATTTCTCCAAATCTGTTCAGTTGAAGTAACAAACTCATATACATCTTAAATGAGTAATATTTTCAGCATTTTTTGGGGGGGGGGGGGAATTATTCCTTTAAAATGTGATATTAAAAATATGCTTAATTCTATTTGGAGCAGAGATCACATGACTTGCAGAATACTGCTCGCTTTATCTCATAAATTAGAATAAATTACGGCAGACAGTAAATTTCTACAATTGTATGGGTAACCGAAACCGTTTGCTTGATGCTGCATCCACGCCACAAGGTGTCAGTGTAATTCCAACACAACTTATGACAATAAAACACTAAGTGCATCTTTAAAGGGATAGTTGTAATAAAAAATATAATTCTGACATCATGTGCTCACCCATATGTTGCATGACTTTAAATCCAAGCCTTCTTATGATAGTTTTGAATGAAGAACAAACCAAATTTCAAGTTGTTATCAACTAAAAATATTGCCTTCAACCCTAGAAACATCATCATTTTCACATTTCCATGTTCAAATGTGGCATGTTCATAATACAATTGTGTAAAGATGTGTACAGTTGTATGGAAAGTATGAAAACCTTAATGTATTGGTACTGGCCACCCTCTATGCCTCTACTGTTCATATTGTCAACTTCTTTGTTTGTATAGTGCACAGCACATTAAAGGAGAAGGAGAAGGAACTGCACACTTAATATAATAATTGTACATGCATAAAACAACAGGTACTGGTACCGTGCAGCCAAGGTCAGGGTCAATACCCATCTTCACTGGGTAATTCTCCTGCTCCATCATGGGAATAAGAGCTGGGGCTTCTCCATCCCTCTGGAAGTTCTCCATCTTATTAGGACGGCATCCATTCACTGCAGAGGATCCACTGGTGAGCAAGTGATGTAATGCTAAAATCAGATATGATGAAGAAACAAACTCATTTATATCTTGGCCTGAGGGGGAGTTTTGTAACGTTTTTTGGGGGGGGGGGGGGAATTATTCCTTTAAAATGTGATATTAAAAATATGCTTAATTCTATTTGGAGCAGAGATCACATGACTTGCAGAATACTGCTCGCTTTATCTCATAAATTAGAATAAATTACGGCAGACAGTAAATTTCTACAATTGTATGGGTAACCGAAACCGTTTGCTTGATGCTGCATCCACGCCACAAGGTGTCAGTGTAATTCCAACACAACTTATGACAATAAAACACTAAGTGCATCTTTAAAGGGATAGTTGTAATAAAAAATATAATTCTGACATCATGTGCTCACCCATATGTTGCATGACTTTAAATCCAAGCCTTCTTATGATAGTTTTGAATGAAGAACAAACCAAATTTCAAGTTGTTATCAACTAAAAATATTGCCTTCAACCCTAGAAACATCATCATTTTCACATTTCCATGTTCAAATGTGGCATGTTCATAATACAATTGTGTAAAGATGTGTACAGTTGTATGGAAAGTATGAAAACCTTAATGTATTGGTACTGGCCACCCTCTATGCCTCTACTGTTCATATTGTCAACTTCTTTGTTTGTATAGTGCACAGCACATTAAAGGAGAAGGAGAAGGAACTGCACACTTAATATAATAATTGTACATGCATAAAACAACAGGTACTGGTACCGTGCAGCCAAGGTCAGGGTCAATACCCATCTTCACTGGGTAATTCTCCTGCTCCATCATGGGAATAAGAGCTGGGGCTTCTCCATCCCTCTGGAAGTTCTCCATCTTATTAGCTTTGCTGAACCTAGTTATCCATTTACCTGCAAAAACAATAAATACAAATCACTCATATCACTGCCTGGTGAAAAGCATAAATCTCCACAAAAGTTTGTCAAGATTATATTTCAATAACATATTTCAAAAGTCACAAATTTAGCTCAAATCACAAACATATTTATCAGGCTGGACAAGCTAATGTACATGTACATTTTCATGCTCCCATTCATTTTGCATCTAATTCCCCTCTGTTAAAGTGCATACTGCATAAGAGATATTAAAGAGCAAGAGAATAATTCAGAGCCCATTTACCTTTTAAGAAGGCTGCTCCCACAGGCAACACAGCTGTGTTACGAGAAAGCGAAGGAACGACTTGTTCCACTTTTCCACCAGTTTGCTGTTTAAACCAATCATTAACAGTCTTAAGGTCCCGGGCTCCAGCCGCAAGAGTTTGAGGGCGCACCCCATATTGCTTCTCTACACTGTTGAGGTATTCCAGCCTGAGACGAAGTTCTGAAACACACAGAGATAAATGAAAACATGTACAGCTCTTCTCTCTCTTGAAAACATGCACAACCACACCCATTTAAAAGGAAAAACACTAACTCCTAGCCAAAAGGATGCGATCTGCTGACTTGAAGCCCTTGGCAGATGCTCTGAGTGAGGATAGAAGGTCTCTCAGTGTGTCATGGAGCTGACTGTCTTGCAGGGTGTGGTAGCGGAGGGCCCTGTAAATCTGTTTCTCAGCCCGTTCAGATGCCCCTATGACAAATGGCAAAAAACAAATTTGAGATTAATGATCTCAAGCTAAAATCTTAGATGACTGCTGTAAGAAAAGCATGGTCTTCCATAGTGAAGCAAAGCCCCACCCATTGAAAGCTGTGTAAAGGCTGCTGAGATACTCATGGGGGACAGGAAGACGCTGGCCTTGGGATCACGTGCTGCCAGCTGACGGAACAGGTTGAAGCCAAAATCAGAGGTTGCGGCAGCCAACTTGGTGCGTGGAGTAGTAAAAAGATCAACCGCCTCTTCCTCACCTTCAGCCTCTGCTGTATCTGTCTGTAGCAGAAGTGGACCATTATAGCCAGTGGAATTACAGTGAAGAGAATGTATGTGACGACTCATGAAGACCTTACCAACTGAGCATGTGAGAGGGACAGAAGACTCCATAAACCAAACAGCACGACTACCTTCCTCATCCTGATAAATACAAAGTTAAAAGCTCAGCATCTGTGATGAAGACCACATGTACCCCTTGTACAGATAGTTTTGTTAATACTACTACAAGTACCCAAGAAAATCCCATTTTAGAGTGTTAATTATGATTAAAAAATAAATAAATAAATAAAATAATGTCTATGGTGACCCGTGACACCAAACTCTTCATAAATAAATTCACTTTTTTACACCTTGGTAGCAATACATAAAAATATTGGGATTAGATAAGTTGATAAATGCCACATAAATATATATATAAAATATAAATAAATAACAAACAGATCACACTGAACCTCAATGTACTAAAAGTTTTAGTAAATTTTATATAAAATGTAAACATTAACTTTCCCCAATCTAAAGACTGGTCATATATACTACGTGTATACATATAAACTACATGATCTTCAAACATTTGCAATAAAAACAGAAAATATAAGTTAAATCCCTAGCCTTTACATAACACTTGACACAGTTAACTTCAGTCAGAGGTTCAAGAAATGTTCCTGCAGCAGTTTCCAACATGGTCTAAAAATGTTTCCATGTTTCTTCAGCACATCTGGTTGCCATTAAACTTTTTTTGCTGAGTTCTTGTCCATCTATGGAAAAAAATACTCCTAACTCTAATATTTTCCCATTCATCTAAATGGCTCCCTCACTGTATCTGCCACGCAGTTAAAGAGTTGAGCGTGACTCCATATCCACTGCATATGTCTGAGCTCAACTTGATTCACATTCCACACCTACAATCTGAAAAAAAGACACATTTGTGAAACTTTTCATGCAGTATCAAATAGTTATTAGGAGGGGAAAAAAACCTTTAAGAGGAAAAATATATAAATTATATAGCTGTTATTTTATATTCGTTGCATTCATCGTTCGTATCCCGAGAAGCAGACGAGATCTTATTGTTTACTTTAATAAATATGCTGAAAACTTTAACAAAATATGCTGAATTAACAAACACCCAGAGCAGTCTTAAAGAAGAGAAGAAACTGGACAGCTTAAAAAAACTTACACACTTAACCATTTACATTAAAGAACTTTGATATTGATTTTAAAAGGGTCTAACCTGTTTTCTACTTTACCGTCGTCTCGTGCAGACTCAGCTCACAGCTTTCTCCGCCAACTGTGCTCGAGCAGATGCATCAGCAGTGTTTTAGTGAAGAATCCCACCCTTTGCTGACGCTAGAAGGTGGTCTGTAACTTCTGAGGAGATAGTGGTGAGAGCTTTGATTCATCTCAGTGACTCAAAGTCCGTTCACCAAAGGATCGTTCGGATTCGTTGCTGATTCTTTCAACTCGTGACAACAAAACAAAGCCTATTCAGTGTTAGTGCATGAAAGTAAACGAGAATGAATAAGCTATTAGTTCAGAAATACCTATTCACGAACGGAAACACCACTATTTTGAATTAAATGTATATTTAAATGTCAGAGAGCATTAGTTTGTTACGCCGTACATTTGCTGCTCTTTAAAGGTATTAGGGGGGAAATCTCTCATTTAGTCATAGTTTTGTTTATTTTTAGCGTTTTATTTGTTACAACTTTTAGCATAAAGAAATGAGAAAAATACTTTACTCGACCAAATAAAGAACAATAATATAGTGTATTTGCAGAATAAGTAGCCTAAATGTGTGAAATTATTTATTTAATTTTCGCTATGTAGATTGATTCATCTTCACGGTTTTAACGATGTGAGCAATTGTTTTGCATGTTTAATAATTGGGTTGTATTACTTTCATTACGTTTTGAATGGTCCAGTGGTGCATATCAGAGGCGTCATGCCCATTCACGTGCCCCCTCATATTTTTGAGCCAAGTGAATTTTGAATGCAGCTTCCAAAAGTCAAAAATAGCCGATTCATATTTTCTATATTTAATACAATCACACCGGCGTGATTAGATCGTTCAGTGCGTCATATCATGAGCCAGATACAGACGCGTTTTTACAGCACTGCGCATTAACCAATCACACACACGATGCTGTTAATCTAATGAATGCAATGACCAATCAGAGGTGTTCAGATGAGTCATCGCTGAAATGCCGGTGTTT